GCCACTGTTCCATTTCATCTGGGGACCTCAGTGCTCTCGTTGCTTGATTCCCTTAGGGGTCATGTTCTCTGCTTAAAAGAATATTGCCTGCTCTCTGAGCTAATGATTTGTTTGGAGGATGGAAGTCTCCAAGGTGCTGATAACTGCACAGCTTTTATAATGCATCTTTCAGATCTTTGATCTGCTTTTTTCTGAATATATGGGACCCTCAATAGCAAGATTAAAGATTCCTCTTCTTAAAGAAAAGGCAAAAGTTGAAAACTTAAAAGAAGCTCAGGTTTCCAAATAATATTTTTGTACTTTTTCATTTTGTCAACATCATAGTTGGTGAACATCCTCCTTCATTCATGTGATAACTGGATGGTAATCCAAATAGAGTGTGGGATCATAGGCTTCCCAAGGAAGATGAATACAGGTTTCAAAAGTGCTTAGTGAAAACTAGCTTATGATCAAGGCACACACACTCATCTTGAATTCTATTTAATTCAACAAACATTTACTTGGGATGTTGTAGATGTCCAACATCATATCTTCTTTTCTAGGAAATACCAAGAATCAGAATGCATGTTTGAAAGAGATTCGTATTCTGACCTGAACAGTCAAGGCAAATAAATAGCCAAGGTAGGAGATGAAATGTAATGGCAGGCAGAAAAATAAATGACATTTGGTTTGAGATCAGAGAACACATTCCAGTCAGAGGGCCTCAGGCAAAGTCCCCATCTAAGGATTTTGGGGCATGAGCAAGATGTTCCTGACTGACCTGAGCTGCAAGAAAGTTGATCATAAGTGCTATTGTGTGGGTAGGGGTGAGCTGGAGTGTGTTGGGGAGCAGTCAGGGGAAGGAAGGGGTTCAAAAGGTCAAAAGGCTTGCTGTTAACCAAAGCCCAGTGAGGAACCATTCAAGAGTTTTAAGCATAGCAAAGAGGAAGAGTTGTAGTTCCATGAATATTCTGGAAACATTTTAAGACAGGTTTTAGTATATTTTGAACTAAAAATATGCCTATGCAAATAAGAGAATATGTTTAATAATTTCCTACAGATTTTAATTTTAAAAATAACTATCCCTTAAAATGTGAAATATCTCAGTAGAATGAGAATTTGTTGCTCAATTATATTTGTCTGAAGGATTATTATTTTTGTAGCTTTTTTATTATTATCACAAGAACATTCTTCAGCCATGAAGACAGACCTTTGTTGTCTATATATACTTGTATGTATATAAAAACATATATGGATATTGTCTCTCTCTCTTTTTTTTTTTTGGTCTTTTTGAGACAGGGTCTCTCTCTAGCCCCAGCTATCCTGGAACTCACTATGTACACCAGGCTGGCCTTGAACTCACAGAGATCTGCCTGCCTCTGCCTCCCAAGTGCTGGGATTAAAGCATGCACCACCACACCCGACTGTCTCACTATTTTAAAATTATTTTTATTTTGCTATTATTATTGGGTATTTTCTTAATAGATAAGGAAAAATCAAGTTGGTGCTGACTTAAAGGCCTCATCTCTACTGTCTAGCTTTCATAGTGCTGGAAGGTGCTACGCATGCTACCTTAAGAGAAAATTTATCATCAACCATACCTGATACTGATACCAGGCCTAGGAATCTGAGGCCAGGCAGCCCACAGACTATGGAAGAGAGCCTAATATAATTATTCTGCTAAATAGATATAACATTAAACTGAGTCCTAATGACTTATTGTTATACCCATAGATTAATGTATCTCTCAGCTCTCGGCAGAGAAGCTTCCTTATACAGCAGATGATGATTAACACAGAGAGCCACAACTGGCCAACATGCAGAGAATAAGACACTGCAGAGTACTTATTCCTGAATAGGACACCTAAGTCAGACTTCTGCCTCTCAACACCCAGAGATCATTGCAGAATAGGAGGTCGAAAGACTATAAGAGCCAGAGGTGGTGGATGACCGCAAGGAAACAGTTTTCTAGACAGCTGGTCAGTTATTCAAATGAACACACAGCAATGGTAACAGCTTGTAAAAGTTCCACATAAGCTCAAGCTGGACAAAATCCCTGCATTTGGGGACTCAAATCTCTCTCTCTGTCTCTCTCTAGAGAGGGATTACATTATAAATTAGAGTACAGGAAATTTGGTGTGGGGTTAGTAAAGGTGATACAGATAGTGGAAGGGATCTATATATGATCAAAATATATTGTATGAAACTCACAAAAATTCAATTAAAAAGGATATTATTTTTCACTTTTATAAGGATGTTGTTCATCCCTACATAGAGTTCTAAGCCATGGGAGGTGAACCAGTGAGGGGCAGACTTCTACAGCACCCTGAGGAATGTCACTCCCCTCTCATACAAACAGCTGAGTTTTCATTTTCTGAATCATACTGTGAAATGCATTATTTATTTCTGCTCCTAAGTCCTTTGGAACAAAATATAACCTTTCAAAAAATCTAAGGCGATAAAATGTAACAAGTATCGGAAACAACCAGCTTTACCAACCAACAGAAGCAGGAGCTGGAAACAAGACAGCAGCAGGCAGATCTGGATCTGACAAGATGGCAGCAGGCAGATCTGGATCTGACAAGAAGAGGGCTTTTTCTCCCAAGAGACTTTTTTCACAATGCCATTGGGATGGTGAAAGTTTATCCAAGACAAATTTGAAAACATGAGCAGATTAAGTTATCTTCTGCCAACTCAACCTTCGTCAATGTCAGATCTCTAAGGTGGCTGTTTCCTCTGCTTCATCTCCTGCTATTCTGGGCAGAAAACACAAAAGTCTAAGATACAGGTAACTCTAAGTTTCAGGGTGAAGTCCAAACTGTCAAGGCGTAAACATTCCCATGAGGCAAAAATCTACCTAAAAATAGTTAGTTGGGGAAGTGGAGCACATAGAGCTTCATTTGGTTGTGTGGTTTTGAGACTTTTGTCTCCTCCTTATTTTATAAGACCAAAATGGTAACTGGTATTTTCCCCATCTGAAAGTCAATAAAATCTTTTTGTGCTTAATTTATTATTTTATTCTATGAAAGAAACAAACATCAAAATAGATTTTCACCTCATCTAAATGATCGAAGGGGGAAAACACCACAAAGATTTAGCCTTATGATTCCACTTGAGGTTATTTCAAGTTATTAGAAAAATTTTACATTACAAAGTTCCATATGCAGGGATGGCATATATTAAGATGGCAAAAGGCCCTTGGGTAAAGGCACTTGCCACCAAGCCTTATGACTTGACTTTGATCCCTAGGATCACACGATGGAAAGAGAGAATTGCCCTCTGACCTCCACATGAGTATGATGGCACATGGGCACTCTGTTTTAGTTAGCTTCTCTATTGCCATGGCAAAACATTCTGACCAAAACAAATTCGGGGGAGAAGGGTTCATTTGGCTTACAGCACAGTACATCATTGAGGGAAGCCAAGGCAGGAGCTCAGGGCAGAAGCCTGAGCACAGACCATGGAGCTGCTTCCCGACTTGCTCCCCTGGCCTGTGCTGAGCCTGCTTTCTTATATAACACAGGACAACCTTCCCACAGTGGCACTGCCCGCAGTGGCCTGGGCCCTCCCTTATCACTCAACAATCAAGAAAATGCCTCACAGACATGACCACAGGCCAGTCCAATGGAGGCAATTCCCTAACTGGGCTCCCTGTACCCAGGTACGTCAAGTTGACAACTAAAGCTGTACAGCACGTGAAAAAATAAATGATAAAAAGTTTGATATGCAAACAAATAATTGTGCAAAGTAAAGATCTGTCATTAGCAGTTCTGAGTTTAACTTTTTTATTGGAGACATGGTTCTCACTGTGCAGCCCAGGGTGGCTTGGAAGTCATGATTCTGACCTCAGCCTCTGGAGTGCTAAGATTCATGAGTGTGCATCACCATGCTTGGACTTGTTGGTTGATTTATTTAATTTATTATTATTATTCTATATATTTTAAAGATTTATTAATTATTTAATTTTTATTTTAATTTTTTTGTGTGTGAATGTTTTGCATATAGGTAAGTGCACCTGCGCTTGCATTGCCTGTGGAGGTCAGAAGAGGGCATCAGCTCCCCTGGATTTGGAGTTATGGATAATTTTTAGCTGCCATATGGGTGCTGGAATTGAACCTAGGTCCTCTGTAAGAGCAGCCAGTGCTCTTAAGCACTGAGCCATCTCTCCATATTTATTTATATATATTTTTAGGTTAGTAAGTGTTTTGTTTGATGTATGTATGTACACCACATGTATGCCTGGTGCCTGATGAGGTCAGAAGAGAGTGTCAGATCTCCTGGAACTGCAGTTACTTGTGGTTGTCAACTGCCATGTGGACTCTAGGAACTGAACCCAGATCCTCTGCAAGAGCAGCCAGTACTCTTAATCACTGAGTCATCTCTCCAGCCCCATGTTATGAAAATTCTTAACTGGGGACTATTGTCTACTGAAGCTAATACACAAAGCTGACCCTTAGATTCTTTCCAGTTGTATATTTATAGTTGAATAATATGATTATTCACAAAAAGTATATAAGAAAAATAATACAAAGAAACATTGCTATCAAATACTTTCTAGATTAGTATTCAAATGCAAGTTAATAATATTAGCTACCATCAGTAAAGTAAGTACAAAATACGTATCGGTGTGTATTGGCATTTGCTGTTTTTTACATGTTATGACAGTGAACATTATTAAAAAGCCTCAGCTGATTTCCCACTTGTTCTTTACTGTGTTATTCATTGCAACTGATCATACATTGTGGCCCCTAAAATAACTAGGAAAAGTCAGCTTGAGAATGGTGACTTATTAGGTAGATCAGAACATTACTCTTTACTGTAAGGACTATTTGATGCGTCTCCTAATATTGCAGGTACAATATAGCACAAAAGCTTCCCTGACCTTCATGTAGCAATGAATCAACAAAAATATTATCAACCAAATTAAAGTCACCAATGGGTGACTGAACGTTTCCAACAGAAATGCCTTTGCCACTAAGAATTCTATGAAACCTAAGTGTCTTCAGAAACCAGAGCCTCACCTGGAACGGGTTCATATTCCATGTAGCTCCTACTTTCTTTCCAGGAAAGCAGGCAGTTGAGGCTGTTTGCATCTGTAGATTCTATGTAACTTTTCATCATCAGCATCATCTGGTGAGCTCTGGCTATTCCATAATGCACTTTAGTTTCATCCATCAGAGATGTTTTCATGAGCTCCACCCTTGTGTTGAGAGCTTGCTGGAAGTACTCAGAAGCTTTGCTGTACTGTCCCTAAAGAGAAGGAGAGAGAATTTCCCCATTGTTCCTGCCTCACCCACTTCGTGGCTTTGCTTGCCTCCCCTTACTGTGTTCATGCTTGAGGACAAAGCCATGGTAAACTGGCTCTGTATCATAACAGGCTGCTGTCTGGGAGCAGTGTTTACTTGGTATTCAATATGTAAAATTAATTTGGTCAGAAAGCTGTGGCTGTTACATTGAGTTATATGAAATACATTCTTTGGATAAAAGTGGCTAAGCATTTACAGTTTTATACTGTTCAGCCTCATATATGGCCTCGGAAAGAAGCTGGGGAAAGAGAGAATCAGCTGCCACCAATTTCTCTAGGATTTTATTTCCATGGAAATAAATTTTAATTTCTACTACTTGTAGTGTTGCTTTTACCTAATAAAATATTTCTATGTTTTGTTTTCATTTGTAGGGTGAGGTTATTTTTAGTGAACTCCTTTGATCGAAAGCCAGTGACAATAAATTTATCTATCTGATGATTTGGTCACTGTTTTTCTTTTTCTTAAATGCACCTGTTATTGTTCAACTAAGAACAGGAGGTATTTTAGATTAAAAAATAATATGATTGTAATAGCACTAAAACAAATAAAAGGACTCATTTAAATATCGATGTCTTTGCAAAATTCATTACAACATTCTCAGATTTTAGAAATTTAAGATTTCTTTTCTTTTGGTCCCTCCTTACCTATCCTAAAAGTTATTGTTTACAAATAATAGCATTCACCTAACTTGTATAAAGCATAAAGGCCAATAGTAAATACTTCGTATATATTATGTCATTAGTCTTTACAAGTCACCCTATGAGGAAAATTTTATCTATATTTCACAGATAATGAATTTGAGCTTCAGAGAGGAGCTTATCTGCTGCTACCCCCAAATCTCCTAAAATTCCTCATTACAAACTTTTCTTTAAAGATGAAAATTAGGGGGCTGGAGAGATGGCTAAATGGTTAAGGACACTGGTTGCTCTCGAAGAGGACCTGGGTTTCGTTCCCAGCACCCTGTGGCAGCTACCAACCATCCACAACTCCAGTTCCAAGTTATCCAATGTCCTCTTCTGATCTTTGTGGGCATTACACACATGTGGTGCACTTACATGCAGGCAAAACACTCACACACACAAAATAAAAAAAAAGATGAAAGCTAATTCCAAGACTGACCTATACTTTTGGAGACTCTTGAGAACAAAACTTCTTTTTATCTAAAGACTTTTTTAGCTAAACTAAGTGGATCAGCGAGCTCCAGGTTCAGTTGAGAGGCTCTGCCTCAGTAAACAAAGTGCAGGGTAATGGAGGAAGACACCTGACTTCAACATCTGGCTTCTACATGCATGTATACACATGTGCATACGCACCCACACACTTGTGTACCCCCACACATGTGAAAACTCATATATACATATGCCTGGAAGAAAATAGAAATGAATTCTTTTTTATAAAATTATTTATTTAATAACCATATAATTAGAAGAAGCATTTCATGACAACAGCATTGACATATTCAACAACAATTTCCTGAGCTAAGATGCATCTGTTTCAAGATTGACTGTAAATTTTTAGGATTACAGTTAAATTAATACAGTTATACAACATTGTACTCAGTATAAACCCTTTAAGACATAAAATTAAATGAGGTTTTAACCTTTAAAAAAGATCTCCATTTCA